TGCTGTGCTGTGCTGTGCTGTGCTGTGCTGTGCTGTGCTGTGCTGTGTGACGTGATGTGGAATGATGTGAAACACCAGGGCACCGTATAACGTGGTTGTTGGGGATCCAGACTCAGGGCCTCGTACTTGCACAGTAGGCTTTTTACTGACTGAACTATCTCTTCAGTTTCCCCAAAGTGTTTTTTTGTTTTGTTTTGTATGTACACTTTTATTTCACAGTAATTAGAGGTACACAGTGATCAAAATCGTCCTCTATGTCTTGCCAAGAGCTTTCCTATATTACAGAAACTATCTAAACTATTATCTTATTTGTTTTTCCTAATGGCTTTAAATCAGTTTTACCTAGCAAGAAATCTCATTAATCAGGAAGGGAAAAATTCACTAGAGAACCTACTTAATGTAAAAGTTGGATAAATAAAGTCTAGTCTAATGTTCTGAACAATGAATTCTTTCATGGGTACATAAATGATTTTTTTTAAAGGCAGTTTCATGTCTTAGTGTTCTGTTATTAGTTGTTGGATTTTAAATATATGATGAAAATATTCACTCAGGTACATTTATTTTATTTTTTTAAAATTTGTTTTAAATGTTAATAAAAGGCTTAATAAGTTAGGTAATGCTAAATAACAAGATGCCCATACAATCAGAAGTGTAACCCAATACCCAACCTAGATATACCAACTATCTTTGACTGGTAGATACTCATGAACATCCGCCTCTGTGTCGCACCCTTCCCATCTCCTAGCTCCTCCTCCTCTCCTTACTCCTCCTCTTCCTCTCCTTACTCCTCCCACCATAGCTCCTCCTACATATCACCCTTCCTGTTAAGATAAAACTTTTCTCTCAAAATACAATTAGAGCATAACCATACCAATTTGTATCAGTAAGATACAAGATAGACCTAATACCCAGTCAATCATTTTGTTGACTAACCAGAATCTTTGTCATCTCGCCTAACTAAAAGACATAGTTCTGAACCTGGCTGTTTTCTGGGCTTTAGAATGAATGTCAGCTGAAAACCATCCTCTCAAGTCTTTTCTCTCAAAGTAAATAGCCAGGATTGGCTATGAGACTATAAGCCTTCAACCCCATCAGAAATCCAGAATGACTGAATTAACTGAAATTATGGGAAGCACAAAGCATAGCTTCTAAAACTTAGCCAATTTATAGAGGCCACTGAACACCTGGACAGTCCTTATACTACAAAATGTTGGAGCATCCGATCTTCAGCCTTCTGGCCCAGGATCATCTGACAGACCTAGTGATGCAGAATTATTAAGGGCTGATTACTCTGTCTTGGCAGATATAATCAGTCGACTATTCTGCAAGTGTGTCCTTGTCTGAACAGTAATTTGTCTGTAGATGAAAAGAGGCAATTCTTGCCTAGTGGCTGTCTCACCACAACTGGAGTAACTCCAAAGATGCTCAATTTCTTCTTAGAATCCAAGACAGGAAGCTGTCAGGAGCAGATAGGTCTCTAATCAAAATGAACCTTAGTGCAGAAATGTTTGTAATGTCAATTCTGTGGACTTCTGATGTTTTGAAAACCAACTATCCATGTAAGGCAATCTGGACTGTTGTCTGTTAACTCCTCTCAGCTATTTCTAAATAAAATATAGAAAACACCCTAACAATAAACTCAGAGCTATGAATTTGCTATAGGCCCTTAACTCAAAGACTAACCATCTCAAATCAGTTTAAAAAAGTTAAAGAAGGACTGGGCCTAAGCCTTGTATTCTTAAATGTGTTATATAGGCACAATGCCTATGAGAGTAACAATATTAATCTCACTTCAATATCAATAAAAACCTCACACCAATGAAAACCTTAAATTTGAAATCAAAGTAAATTTTGTACCATTTAAGAAGTTATAACTTCAGCTTAATAACAGTTATACAGATTTCTACCAATACGTTATGGCTATACAATAAATCCTCGCTATTCCTCCCTGTTCCAACAAAACCACTACTTTTCCCTAGAAAGACAGCCCAATATTAACCACCTCAGTCCCCAAGCCCAGGGAATAGGGACACCAACTCTTCATTAACTTCTTCAAGCTGGTTACGGGCATTGAGATAATAGAAGAGGGGCGGGGGGAAGAGTAAATTGATAAGCTTCTGACGTCTGTCTTCACTGCATTCAGCCTCGATTCCAGGACATCAGAGGTTTGAGCAGGTCTGCTCAGCTTGCTTGATGAGTAGATATACCAAGGGTGTGTATTCTGCAATATACAATTGTCAAAACAAATTTCAGTATCAAGAATTTTCTGTTTGAATTCTGGAATCTAGTCTTCTGGTGGCCTGTCTCTATCATATCTAATCTATATAATTCTGGGAGTTTCTATGAGGGTGTGCTCCCACC